ATTCAAAACCCTTCTTTTTCTTTGATTCGTTCCGGGTTATATTAGCTCCTCAGTATGCCGCGTTTCGGAACGGTAGAGTCTTTCTCATTTGCTCTGTTGAGATAAGCCATGTTCTGATCTCATGTTTATGAGCTTTTTCTAACGTTTCTGCGATGTAGCTATCCAAACATGAGTAGTTTATACAGTATACCATTACAGTTTTCTCCATTTTCGGTGTAACACTTTTCATACGTAGGGGATGCTTTGTTTGTTTGGAGTGTTGCATGCCGCCTTTACGCCATATCTATTGATTTATAGTTTGATTCTTAGGCTTGATCAATCATCTTCATCCAGTCGAGGAAGATATATGTGTATATACATATACAGAAAGTAATCCTGGTGTTATGGGTAACAGGTTACGTCTTCGATAGTCAGTTCTCAAAATTTTACACGTCGAAAAACCAGCTGCCAAAATACCATAGAGCCATAGCCTGCTTAAGCGGTCCCTTAAGCTACTCTTAGGGTACACTGCGTCTACACCGTAAATCTGGAGAATTGACTGAAAATTCTTGTTCTTGCCAGAAGTATAAAAAACTGTCAGTGTTCTAGTAAACCCATGATACGGGTCTTGTAAATTTGTGTCTAAATTTACCCATTTTTTTAAATTTGTGTCTAAATGAAATAAAGGTTTATAAAATTCAATTTAAAATCGGTGCGTAGGTCCTCTGAAAACTTCTTATCGGAAATAAATATTATACTATTCTTAGGTTTTAGTTTCATTTAGTCTTAAAAGCGTCTCAGTCATGCTGAATTAAGTTTTTGTTGATAAATCTAAGAGGAATGAAGGATGGCCTCAATTTTTTTAATCGACCAAATATATCCTAGAGACGCTGATAGACAGAAGGTTGATGAAGTTGATCATCCGCAAAGAAGCAACCAAGCCTCACTGGCTCGTCAGCTGCTGACGTGGACGTTTAAAAGACGATGGCCAGCATAGCACATCACACAGCAGAGAAAACTAAAGTGTTGGCGATGTGCACTCTTTTTTTGTCGACGCAGTGAACGACTCTCAATATCATAATGCGAACCGCTGAAATGAGCAGACATATGGGATATTTGCTAATTTACAAGTCAGCGAATTTGACTGACTGACTGACTTCACAAATCTTAAGGTTTCTGCAGTTATACGAAGATAATCATAAAACCAAAACTTTCTAAACTTCACCACTGAATTTGACTGTTTAAGACATTTAAGGAGACTCGTAAAGCAATCCCCTGCTCGATGATGTTGTAGCACCATGGGGCCGTGATATAGTTAAATAGCCTTCATAGGTATTAGGATAAAGGAAGCTGCAGTACGTCATGGAATCTCAGTTGGGAGGGGTTGTCCTTATTGACATATTTCAACGTGCGAAAACATTTCATGTAGTTATATTTATATATGTACATTTGCATAGAAGCTTTCATAATAAAATGTTGAAAACTGTAAAGAGTTCCGTCAAACCTGGTGACTGATCTCAGGTTTCAAAACAGACCTTAATGACGTAACAACTGAGCATTGCCCCAGATGTCATATAATGACCCTATTTTACAATGTCGTGGCGTTTCCGGTTGTATCGAACGTTCGGGTTGTATTACAGGTCGCAATATTAGGAAATTTAGCACGTATGTGTTAAGTTCCATTACAGATATATTGTATTAGCAAAATTTTAAGTGCATTGGCATTTTATGATGGTTTCTATGTGAAGACTGAAGAGTAAAATTCTTTCAGGGTTTGCTACTGACGTTGCAAGAAGTGTCAACTACTCTACTGTAATGTCGTCGTCATCTGCCGAAGAAGCTTATTTGGCGCACGTTACTTACGACCTCATTCTCTCTCCGGCCATATCAAAGCTGGAGGCGAAGAATCGGCTGAGCGTAAGCAAGTTACGATCGGCGTTGCTGCAGGCTGAGCAGGAGCATTGTGGCTTCGCGCTGGAGCTGGTCCGTTTCATACGATCGCGATCGGAGCTGGATATTGACCTTCAGGAGGTGTTCCTTAGACTGCACAAGCACGCGCCGAATGATGATTTGCAGCTGAATCGCGCGCAGCCGCTGCTGGCTGCCCTGAGCGATTGCGCTATCATGTTACGACTGATCCTTTCGCGGATCCCGGACGAAATCGGTGACCGTCGCAAGTTCCTGGACACGATCAAGGAGATCGCCAGCAGCATCAAGCGCCTGTTGGACGCCACTAATAGCCTGATCATGGCGTTGCCAGAAGATAATCCGGTAGAGGCACGGAAACGAGACTTCGTTAAGTACAGCAAACGTTTCAGCAATACATTGAAGGACTTTTTCCGAGGCGAACGCGATACTGTCGTCTTTAAGAGTGCCAACCAACTCATATATCAGACAATGTTGATTATCAAGGTTGTACGTGAGAAAGTGGTTCTGTGACTCGGAACGTAACCTGGCCCACACCTGCTGCCTTCGTCAACTATCACGTCAGATGTAGAACCCTACTTTCCTACCTCTTTCCTGAATGTTAGTCGTCTATTTGCATATATTGCACGTCATGTTATCTCGTTGTTTCGCTGCTTTTAACACTCGTATCCCCAAAGTAAAAAGGATGTTTTTGTGCAGGTGACCAAAACGTTATCCCCCACTGTCGTAACGTAGTCTTTATCTGTGATGACTGCTACTGCAGCCAACAGTCGCTACTGTAATCGCGCCACCGCTTTCATCCGGGATTCACCATTTTCCTATCTCATTGGCACGTGCTGCTTTGTTAAGCGAATAAAACTCACGAATCAAGAACATTGCGCCATTCGTCGGCCGACGTACTTTTAGGCACCATTTATTTCTGTCGGCGACAGCAGGGTATCTCTGATTAGTTTTCTGTTTAGCTATAGTGTCGCTTCTTGCTCTATTTCTGTCTCAGCAAAAAGTACGGATGAACGACGAAATGAAAGCAGCTTCGTTGCCAGGTCGAAATCAGGCCGCTTCTGTCTATAAGAAAGACAGCTGTGCTTTCAAAGTTTTACAGTGGCTAATGTTTCTTAAGCTGATCTGTATTCATATAAAACATGAAACATTTTTAACATGAAATAGACTGCCAAATAGCTTGATGAAGATTTACTTTATTTTGAAGTAAAAGTTTTACAAAAAAGCAGATTTTGTGCACTAAGAACATAATGGCTGATACTATGATAAACAGTCTTTCCGATATAGTTTGTGAACGCGCTGTTTTTGGGCCCTAATTTTATCGAGAACATGACTGATTTGATGTCTCCAGTCGTTGAGTTGCGAGAATTCGAATTAGGATTCATTAACTTAAGTATTACTGGAGCAGCGAAATGATCATTCAATTCTTCCAATAATCAATTTGGAGAAACGAGGTAGTAGTACAATTCTCCCATTCCTAGAGTTGACTGTACCATAGTAAAAGTGAGCCGCGTTGCGAATATATGCGCGAAGACAGCTCTTGCGTGTACAGTCAAAAAATATCTGTAATTTGATCATGAAATCAAAAAACTTGCAGTCTGGTAACCTGATTGTCTGAGCTTAAGCACGTTTATGTCTATGAAAGCAGTTAAATAGCAATTTTTTTTGAAAAAGTTGCAAACAATCGTAACAATGCAAAAACAGAAGTAAATGTTAATCAATGTATAAAGAAATATGCAGTCTCCGTCTCAGAAAGATTTGAATCAAAGCTAAAACTAGTAATGCCCATTGAGTCAAAACTTCTCACTCATCTGGAGGTGGAACATTGTGAGGATAAGGCTCTTTTGGCTGAGGAGGAGGGGGTGAAAATATATTCGAGAAGTTGCACGTAGACGATGATGCCGCTGCGTGATTCTGTGCACATGGTACGGGGTCACTGGCTGCTGACGACAGACTTGGGTTTGACTTTGACTTGACTATCGGGCAGGCGAAGTCGACATGTCGAGATTTTGATTCCTCCTTTTCCCAAGACATGTGAATGAACGGTCGCTGGACGTAGTTGTAAATAACTAAACAGCAGAACGAAGTAATGCCATCAAACAAAAAACAAGGGGACGTACCTTCCGCTTTGCCACCAGGCCGTCGTTTGATTTTTTCCTTGTGAGTCGGGTAGCCCTCAATGCCAAGTCGAATCTTTTTGAGACCCCTGTCTTTCAAGAGTTGCTTGGCGACGTCCCGGTTTTCAATATACTTGAAGAATCGGTACAACTGAGAACTGTAGACAACTGAAACAAAACAAATACTATGCTTGCCGACATCATGAAATCTACCTTGCATTGAATCTTCGCCGGTCTGAGGAGGATAGTTCTCATCCCAGTCCACAATGTCATCGTCCAGCAGAACCACAATGTGGCATTCCCGCTCTCCGTGCTGAAATGGGTCAGTGATATATTAACTTATGATTCAATGCACATTCCAAATTTCAGTACTATTTGCATTTTATTTTCTTTCAGACGAGTGAATAAACAAACTATACCTGCGCATACAATTCGTAAAAATTAAGCCCCGTCCCTAGAATATAAGTACGTTTAGTTCAAAATAATTTAGCATAAACGTAAATGACGAATGACTCCTCCAAAATCAAACTTCAAGGTAATTTGCATTGCGCCACTCTTCCCAGTTGCTTAGTGGGCCATTTAGGCAAGCAACAGCTCTATGGTATTTGAGCACTAGTAGTACCGGATGGATGTCGCATTATTTTGCCCGCTAGAGCCACCGTGCTCATCATCAACGATATATCAAGAGCTGGTATTTCTTGTATGTTACGGGTTAAATATAAGCAGTTCATACGTACGAGTACGCGAAAAAATGAATGCCTCCTCTAAGAGCAGATTTCTCGGCGTATTTTACTACCACCTTACTCATAGTTGGGTCTGCAGGCAACTAGGAAATACCATGGAACCGTGGCGTGATTAAATGGCACCTTAGGCAACGCAAAGCTTGTTGGAGACTAACCTCGCGCAAATATTAACTTGTTTTCTTCGTATCTCAGACTGATGTTCAAACCCTCGCATTTGTCCCATCACCCTTCCGTACCACGTATTATTCAGTCGTCAAATAACAGAGGAGAAAGCATCGCTGAGGTAAGGATAATAACATGAAATTGTTATTCACTATTAAATGAAAATCAGAAACAAAAACACAAAATATAATGACTAGCATACACTTAGTGGATATGGAAAATATTACTACATCACATTTCATACCAACATATGACAGGTAAAGTTTGATACTTGCCTCAGCGTTGGCAACCATTCGTGGCAGTATCAGATCCTCGAGGAAATGGTCGAACTGCTCTTTGGCTCCCTCGTTGGACAGTTCGTGCATGAGACTGCGCAGATCAGTAGACTTTATAGTTTCAGCATTGAACGGAATTAGCAGATAGTCACATGCTTCTCGCAGTTCAGGGATCGACACGCTGGGAGGACAGTGGATAACGCCGTGGTAATAGTAATCCTAAAAGCTAAGGGTCTGTAAAACAACAGTAAACCTGAGAATCACATTATAACACAAAGACACTGACGACAGTTTTCTAGAGAGTAAAATAACAGAAACCAAGATTTGGAATTACGATTGATTTTTTAATGATGATTCCACTGCACCAGCTAGCGAATGGTGAGAAGGTTTGACGACTGCTTGCGTTTAAGTAAAACTTCGAACAACAGATGGAAAATGCAAAGTTAGCTCTCAACTATGTGTTGCTCAATAACAGTTCAATAAAACGTCATTTAATTGATTTCGCTTCACTGGAAATCTCCAACTGACTTCCTCTAATCAATTTTGTAGCACTCTCCACGGTCGGCTTGTGTAAAGTTCGTCAAAATGGCGAACAATTCATACAAAGAGTAACTGGAGTCAATGACAGATATTTTAATGCCACAAATAAATGAGTAAATAAAGAAGTAAAAAAATCAATGAAAATGAAGTAACGTCTGATAAATTCGAATACCGACAAACCAGTCACCAATTTCAGTTAAGAGACGGAAAACACTTGTTGTTTTAATGAACAGCTTTGCTGTTGCCATTTTTACTGCACAGATAAAGGGGACTGTTTGATGACAATACGTTATTTCTCGCTCTTGCAGCGACATGCAATGGCAACCACTAAGCTTGGAAAACTGCATGATGTTGATTAAGATTATTGTACAGTTTTTTTGTCATCACCCTGTTTGTTTACCTGAACGGCAAAGCGTCATTTATCCTTTCACAAACATTTCACAGCATGATACTCTTGGAGCGTAGTTACGAAAGGAAAGATCCACAGAGAAAATCATCAGTACCCCCCCCCCCC